CAGTCATGTCTTTATCATCACGCTCCTTTTCGTCCACCTGTGATATCTTGTCGTAAAGGTCCTTGTAGCGTTTGTAATACTTCTGGAACCTTCTCGCCTCCTCAATGACATCCGCCCGGTTGGGTCCTGGTTTATCGGGGCTTGATGATCGTTCAGAATCGGTGCGGATCGGAGCACCAGGGCGTTTGAGGACAGGGTGCTCAGCTGCACCATTCAGCAGGGGAGTCGAATGACTTGAAGTGGACGTTTGTTGCTGATGCTGCCGTTTTGCAGGACGATCGTCGTCGGAAGGGGCGGCTTTGCGCTTCACGGTGTTCGGACCCGGGCTCCTGCCGCGAGACACGTTCCTACTTTTGTCTGAAATGATAGGAGAGTATTTATTAGCCTGCTTCGCTTGGGGCATGTCGGTGCTGGACGGCGGAGATGACGGGGCCGAAGATTGATTTGATGCCTTGCTGGAGCTGGAGTGGTCCACGTCCGTCGAGGTGGTGGGAGGTGAAGAGCCAAGGGGCGATGGCTTCTGCGGTGAACTGTCGTGCCGTGGCCGTGGAGAAATGCGAGAAGCCGTACTTTCCAGCTTCTGATGATTCTGGGGTTTCAACGACTTGGAGGGGGCTGTGGCGGCGGAACGAGGCTTATCACTCGCACTGTTATTACCACTCGAAGACGACGAGCTTGAGAGCGTGGACTTGTGGGCAGCCTTTTTCGGAGATGCAGTTGTGAGCGGCGACTTGACCGATTTGAGAGGAGCTGGTTCTGGCTTTCTCTTCACGGCGGGCGTTGATTTCGTTTTCCCTGCGTCGTGCTTCTTGGGCTTGGCGACGACTTCTGCTGCTTCGGCTTCTTCATCAGAGTCCTCAATGCGTTCAGAGGACTTGAATTTGGCATCTGCTTTGGCAGACTTTAGGTGCGAGGGCTCCTTGTCCTTGTCCTTGCCTCTGCCAGTACCACTTGTATCACCCTTGACGGTAGCCTTGGTAGGAACTTTTTCTTTGCGCGCCTTTTCGACACCGACTGGCTCCTTATCCTTCTTCGCTCGGGGCTTACCATGATCTCGGTCCGACACCTCATTTTTAACCTCGTTGCCGTCCTCATTCGGACGGTCAGGCCTGGGCGTGGTGTGACTGGATACTGGCTTGTCAAAGTTCAGCTTTGACAAGACCTTACCCTTTCCCCTTTCCTCTGAGGGAAGTAAGAGTTGCCAGAGAGGGTCTTTCTTCTCCACCCTCATCCTGTCATAAGCTTGGATGGCATGATCAATAGCTGCTTGTCTCTCCTCCTGCGAGCGGTACTGGAATTTCCACACATCCAGTTCCCGGTAACTCTTTTCCTTCAACTCCCGTTTCCCATCCTCTGCTTTGGACTCCCGTGACACCTTATCGAGCAGTTTGTCTATGTCGTCCTTGGTTGCGCGCAATTGGTCACAGATCGCTTTTGGTGTCATGGGCCGGACAGCCAGAAGGTGCACGAGCGGCACGCGAATAGCATCGAGTCGTATTCGATCCTTTGTCGACATGCCAGAGGACAAAGGGGCCGAGGTAGGCCCAAGCCGGGGAGAATACGAGGCACTCAGAAAAGGACTCCCCGGTGTAGATCTGTTCAAAGATCCCAACAGATGATCTTTCCTCAGAGCAGAACCCTGTCCTAATAAGGGTGACGGTTTCACATCTTTCCTTGCTGCTTGTTTTAGGTCTTCTTTTAAGCTCGTCTCATTCCACGCTCGTTCCTCCTGTATAGATTTAAGGGTGCTTTCCAGGGTAGCCAAGGCTTCGTCGGCCTTTGCGGTATCTTTTTCAGCTTTCCTGACCTCAAGCCTATGGCTTGACTTGCCAGTGAAATATAGAGGGGTTGTGTCGTCGTCGGACTTGGAATAGATCTCGGTGGGGAATGTCTCGACGCTGCTTTCCAGGGTTATGGTTTTCTTGCCAAACTGCACCACTGGTCTTTTTCCACATCGGAACCGAACTTGCTCGTTACTTTTAAGGCATCGAAGAATGTCCTTGGTCACGGACTCAACCAAGTCCAACCGGATCACCTGGGTGGGCTCTGTCGTGTGTTTACTCTGGGTATTGGACTTGGGGTCCCGTCGTAGGACGAGCCCCTCGGAGGGGATATTGAACGTGCCCATGTTGCAGGAAAAGAGGTCTCGACTTGGTCAAGGCAGAAAGATTATGGTAGGTTTTGTAGGGCTCATTCCTGGTGTTTCGAGAAATTGCGAGGACGGAGTCAGGGCAAGACTGGCGTGGAGAAGAGTCGGCTCGCTGCGCAGCAGTGACAGCAGCTGGCAGACGGCGTCATGACACAATATTTAGAACAAAAGAAGTGAAGACCAATTTGGCTGAACAATAGGAGCCGGTGAAAGAACAAAGCCACGATCCGTTTACAGCAGAGGCGAGGTCAAAGGTCGAGGTTGAGGATGAGAAGCAGGACAAAGGCATGCTGACGACTATTGGAGGGATCGGGGGTGTGGAGAGGGGACGAGGATGAAGCGACCTTGGAAGCACGCGGTCGGACAGTAGTAGTGGGACACGCCGTGTATCTCGTATGGCGATGCGATTTGCTTTGAGAGGTGTGTGTGTGGGCGAAAAGGTTCAGAGCGCGGGAGCGGTTGCCCTTCGATCAACAGCCGATTTGGCTCTGGCCGCTTGAGGGACAGTCGAGGACAACCAAGGACAACGGAGAAAGTTTGAGGGAAGCCCAAAGAGTCGCCCTAGGGACGACCCAGGGCGAGTTGCTGGACCAGGTAGTGACCAGGGTTAGAAGCCACCGAGGCCATCGAGGCCCGTCTTCGGGGACAGCGACAGCGCTGACTGGCTCGCCGAGAGGGTTAGGCGGGAGCCACATTCTTCAGGTCTACGCCCGCCGTGGCTAGCCTCCCGCCTTTCCGGGGCTTTCTGGCGTTGTGTCAGCACTGGAAACCAGCAGCAACCAGCGGCAACCAGCAGTGGCAGTGGTGAGCAGTGGGCAGTGGGCGGTGGGCGGTGGGAGGCTTTTGCCCTCCGTCACACGGGCAAGCATCAGCCCGAGGCTTGGAGCCAGCCATTTACTGTAGAGGCCACCAGAGGGTTTTGGAACATCTCCCGCAACCCCTTCGTGCCCTTGTTCTCGGCCTTGGCCTATATGGGGGTTGCCGTCACCCCTCGAAAACTGTTCGGAAAAGCAGCCACTCCTCCGAAAGAGGATCAGAAGGGAGGCGTGCACGGGCGTGTTTCAGGGCGATGAAGGAAGCCCGGATCAGATTGATTTGTTTTAGATCGCCAACCCTGACTGAGACTGAACTTGAGCAAAGGCGTCTAAAACAGGCACAGTCTAAAGGATTGGATAGAATCGAAGGGGCCAGGACCGGGGTTGTTTTTTGCCACTGAAGACCGTGCACCAAGAGGTTGACCCGGCTCGGGCTCCTTTGATCTGAGGATTTGTGGCCAAAATATTTTCCTGGACTACTACAGTTATATGTCTAGTTCCTTGCCGCTTGACAAGTTCCGCCTTGGAAAAAAAAAAGGTGGTGTGAGGGGACCGAGTAGAAGACAAATAGCATGGCAAATGAACCGGTTCGCCGAGTCGAGAGAAGCTGCTTTCAATAGCGTTTTAGTCTACTCGGTACTGGTAGCATCGTACGAACGGTTAGGTTAAGTTAGCACAGGTGCTGCGTCCTGCGTCCTGTGCTGCAACATCCCGAGCACCAAACCTGTGGTCGTGAGATCTTACTCTGGAGACGCTGACGGGACATTTCGCCTTCTGTACCTCGTAGGTAAATGTCATCGATTGACCTTGCATCCGATTCAGGTATTTGTACTCGGGACTCGGTACAATCCAGAGGCACAACATAAACTCGGACATAACCGGCATTGAGGAGACATAAGAAGGAGATTTATAGAGAATAACGTCCAGAGTTTAGAGTTCCGCTCTATTGACAATTTTGATACTCACTTGGTGGTGGAGTAGGAGAGCGGCACGGATAGAGACAAGCAGATATATACCGAGTACTTGTACCTTTTATGAAAGTGACTTTCTTCTTGGAGTGCTCGTGCTGAACTCCACAGGTAGTCGCGGGCGAAGAACCCATCGTCCCCCGTCCTATTCTAATTAGCCGCTCGCCGGCCTCGGCTCACCTTCCGCTCCCTGCGCGATCCCCAAGCCATCACTAAGCGCTCCCTAAGTATATAGTCCTTCATTCGTCCGCTTTATTCATAACGACGGAGGGATACGTTCGAGATACTACGGTGATAGCAACATATCTCATGAAGCGAAATCACTGACATAGAATATCTTCACGTGATCTGGACCTCGGCATCCGAGCTTCGGGCAACGATCGCCGCCTCGCAGCGATTTGCTTGTGGCGGCTGCCTACATGGTTCACCGGACTTATTCAGCCGCCCCTCAGCCTGACCATGAAGTCGTTTTATCCTCTACCCGGCAGCTTCCAAATCGCTACGTAATTATCGCCTTGAAGCAAATCTTCCGTCGAGCGCTCTCTTGTGCAGGTTCGGAGAATAGACTTTATTAGACGCGTTGACGTGTAACCCTAAGGTGCCCGGGCTGGAAGTGATCGGCGCGATTTCAGCCGTCATCAGTATCATCGACGCCTCAATCAAGGTCTACGACGGCGCACAGAAAGACGTAAAGCTACCAGACACGTTCCACGTCGGGGGGCGCCGCCTCTCCTTCCTCCGCGACACCCTCGAGACATATAAGAGCCACCTGCAACCGATCCAAGATTCTTTGTCTGCGGACGTTTATGAGGCGTTGGAGAAGACGCCGGAGGGACGCGATGAAAGAGCGGGAAATCTAAGATAAATCTTTGAGAGGCCCTGCCTGTAGAAAATGATGGGTGGGAGAAACGATACGCGAAGATCGTTAAGAGACTGGGCAAGGGCAACAAGGTGGAAGAGCTGATGGTGTCGATCACGGAAGGACGTGTAACTGGTGGTCAACCACCATGCGGTCTAATCAGCCAAACCCGAGCAGATTGCGCCGAGCTGGAGAAAATTATCAAAGAGATGAAGTCGGCGCGGCGGTTGATGCCTGAGGAAGAGGTTTCGGGAATGGCGTTCACCAGTCAAGGTAATATGGAGAACTACATGAATCAAGACAAATGGTATTTTGGTGGTCAATCGTGAAAAGGTCCAAACTCGGAATTTTGGTAAGAACTAGCCATGACGAGAACATATTCATTTCACAGGTGGATGATGGAAGGCGAGTTGGTATTGACCCATCTAGTCTTTACACAAACACCTCAGCCTCTATATGTTTCCAGATCCTCGAATCAATGCGGGTGGTTTATCAAACACTATTTGGGTTTTCGATGTTCTGGAACGAATTCTACTATCTATATGCTCGTTTGTTCGGTGTTTCAAAACGGACAAAGCTGATCGCCCTTGACACTAGTCATCCAGCAAAAAGAAGACTTAAGCTTCCGAGAGCCTGTTGGCGTCCGCCTCATCCAGGCGCCTTACATGAACCCCAAACTCTTCATCGGGCGAGAGTCCGAGATGGCTCAGATGCAAGAGATTCTACGACCGGGTGGCTCGTCTTGAGAGCAACGACGACTGGTGCTGGGTGGTACGGGTGGGATGGGAAAGACACAACTAGCCATCGCGCTTTCGCGAAGCGCCACTACCAGGAAGACGAGTCCATCTTCTGGCTTAATGCGATGTCAGAGGCCACGCTCAAGGACAGTTTCCGGCTTGTGGCCGAGGCCATCTTTGATCTTCGGGAGGCGGAAGTACTGCAGGATGAGCAGAGCATCAAGCACAATCAGCGATGGTTGCTGATCAAGCGCATCGCCCCGGACGAGACCCTCATCTACCAATCTAAGGTCTCGGACCGACAAGAAGAAACCCGCTGCCAGACACAAGACGTACACCCTTCGACCGGACATTCCCCCTTCCTATAACCGGCCTCCTCATCCACCACTCCCCGACCTAATTCGAAGACCCTATGGCCTTCCGGTCTCAGCGGTGGATCGACGACCCAACACTCGACCGCTACCTCGTCCCCTTCTCACGTGGTGCCCGGGCCTACGCTGAGCTGTACCTCGCCACGGCGGCCGCGTTTCAGCAGTACGGCAGCCCAGACGTCCACTTCCAAGGGGATCAGGACCTCCGAGAGCTGTACGACAATAGCTACCAGGACCTCGAGATCATTGGTGATGGAGTAACCCCCTTGTATCGGCCGGACAGTCATGGGGTGAGGATCGTGGTGCGTGCTGCATGACCATTTCTGCCGTGCGGTGATGCGGATGGATGGTCTACTGGAATCAATCTGGGCGGCTATATCGGGGGCTTTCGCCGACCAAATAGTATCCCAAGACCTGCGATCTAGTCGGCTTTATCGCCTCAGAGAACAACGTGCCTGTTTTCTGTCAGATAGTCGATCTCTGCGGTTCCGTCACACAGAAATACTCAGATCTTTTATAGCGATTTGGAGAAGTCCAGCGGCATCTTTGCTCCCCACCCCAGTCAACACGCTTTGACTCGTCCAATGTCTTCATCTCCTTGGTGCTGCCGAGGCTGTGATTTCTCCAGCTCGGTGCGGGGGAAAACGGGGCTCGTTCGTTCGTATACAAACAAAGGTACAGTTACCTACCTACCTGGTGTAAGAAAAGCCCAATAATGACAATCGACAATCCTCTTGGAAAAGTCCCCAGCAGCTGAACAACAGCCATGTCTCCCAATCTCGACATCCCGTCCATCTGTGCACAGATCGCTCGCGATTACTCACCCTGCGACGTCTCCGATGCGCTCCTCAAACTCCACGCCCCGGCTGCAGGCTACCTTCGCGACATCTTGCCCTTCCCAGCCGTTCAACACCATGGCTCCCCCGGCCGCCTCGTGGCGCCCGTCAGCACGGTCCTCTTCGTCGACAACGCTCACACGCCAGGCGCGCAGTATGACGGCATGATGGTGCCCGCGGAATCCAACCTGCCCAACGACAAGCACTTCACCGACGTTGCGCCGGCGGGCTCCGTGGTCCTCATGCAGCAGCCCTCGCACCAGATCGCGGCCCTGCTGGGCGACATCGTGGCGACGCGGTACAAGCTCCGCGGCGTCAAGGGGTGCATTATCGACGGCCGGGCCCGGGACCGCGTCGGCTGCGGCGAGCTATGCAAGGACGGAAGCTTTCAATGCTGGGCAAAGGCCCTGACGAGCCCCGGCACGAGTCTCGAGGCGAAACCCTGGGCCGTGGATGTGCCTATCAAGATTGGAGGCGTGGTCGTTGCTCCGGGAGACATCTTGGTCGCCGACGAGGCCGAGATGGTCTGCTGTGTGATCCCGAGGGCGAGGTTGCAGGAGGTCATGGAGCTGCTGCCCGTGCAGAAGGAGGCGGACGACGGTCTGCTAGAGGATGTAAAGCGTGGAATGGGCTTCAAGGAGGCGATCAAGCGGTGGCCAAAGCATTATAGTAATCATTAAAGGAGGTGAGTGGGCAGGAGGTGCTGGAAAAGGGCATATAGAAATCTAGAAGACAATCTCTTATCTCTCCGCTGTGATTCTGACTTGAATGGGCCAAGCAGCTGCATTGCACTTGAGCGAACTAACCGCATATCCATTGGGACAACCCGATACATTGATTCTCTGAGAAGGAACGGCGATTCCCATTAAACTGAAGCGGAAACCTCAGGTGATTACCTGCAATCTCGGCTTGGTAACGGGCATTCACGGCGCAGAATTGCTTTACCCCTGCCTCGCCTGCTCCACTTCCTCCGTAGATAGGATACTGTCTATCCGGTGAAGGTGGAGAGAGGTCTTTGCGGCCCCCACCTCGTCCTGGGGAAGTCTGGAGAACATGGAGCATTCCTCGTTCTAGGGCCGGATAATGCTCTTCCGCAGACAGCACGAAACGATAAAGTCATTCCTCCTTCGCTTACTAGCGCAGATGGGAGCCAACAAGTACGCCCAGATGTTCTTTCTGTGGCATTGAATTACCGCGAAAGCTTCTTGGATAATGCTGTTCCGGTTAGGTCGACAAGAAGCTCGTTTCCATGAGATGATTTATAGGTTTCGAGCTTCGTCGACCGGGGCCGTGGCTTCTAGGTACCTTTTCCCCAGGACACTTGCTTCATCGTCACCTATCGGTACGATTCAGATAGCCATCGAGTCTGGGCTTGCCCGCTCTTCACGAACGCAGTTGCAACAGCCATGTCCATCAGGAAGTACAAGGCTGCCATCTCACAGGCTGAGCCAGTCTGGTTCGACCTGCAAGGCGCGGTCGATCGCACGGTCGAACTCATCCAAGAGGCTGCCGCAAATGGAGCATCCCTGGTCGCGTTCTCTGAGCTCTGGATTCCAGGGTATCCCAACTTTCTCTGGGGCGGCACGTACAGCGAGAACATCCCTCTGGTTCAGAAGTACATGAAGAACAGCATGACGGCGCATGGACCCGAAATGCTTCGAATTCGCCAGGCGGCAGCGGCCAACAAGATGCACGTCGTCCTGGGCTTCAGCGAGCGGGTGGCCAGCACCCTGTACCTCGCGCAGGTCCTCATCGACGACAAAGGGGACGTTCTCCTCCACCGTCGCAAAATCAAGCCCACCCATCTGGAGCGCACCCTGTTTGGCGATTCGACCGGCGACTCCTTGCAGACGGTGGCGGACACAAAGCTGGGAAAGATCGGCATGCTCAACTGCTGGGAGCACTTCCAGCCACTGCTCAAATACCACACCTACGCCCAGAACGAGCAGGTGCACGTGGCAGCGTGGCCGTACCACGGCGAGGCACTGGGCGAGGAGCCTTGGTCCGTCTGTACCGAGGCGAACGAGGTGACGGCAAGCCGCATGCATGCCCTGGAAGGAGGCACCTTCGTCCTGGTCAGCAACCAGATGATCTCCGCCGAGGGACTGAAGAAGAACACCGAGGGCCACAATGCGACGGGCAAGTCCTTCTCCGTTGGTGGTGGCGGAGGTGGCGCAGCTCGAGTATTCGGCCCCGACGGTCGCCAGCTCACCAAGGAGTCTGATCCGTACCACGACGGCTTGATTTACTGCGATATCGACCTCGACCTGATCGACCGCGCCAAAACGCTGGCGGACCCGGTCGGGCACTACTCGCGGCCAGACCTGCTGCGGCTGGTGGTGGACGACCGGCCCAAACATTACGAGACGAGAGCTGATGGGGAGCCACCGAAAACACTCACATCCGCGTTCAAACCGCTCGGCGAAACGATTGCGGAGTTTGAGAATGTGGCACCGTGGTAGCTTGGAAACCCGGATGGGAGAGGACGTGACAGTGAGGACAGATAGCGAAAGATATATGGTGAGGAGATATATTTTTGGATCGTGCTGTAGAAAATATGACAGTTGTCCGAATTCTGAGTGTTGTAGTTCATCCTTCCCTCTTAGACAGTTGCAAGTCTTTCTCGACCTCATTGATATCGCGTATGCTTTGAACCAGCCACCTTTTGGAGCCATCCACATGTCCGGGTAATAGCCACCATCACAGAATGGTAGCGAAAGGACAGACGTCTCATTCAGCTCTTCCCATCAACCACCTCGGTACCTTTCTGTTTGTCCTCCACTCCAGAAATCACCTTAAACATTCCCCAGGTATCCCCAACGGCCCAAACGTCCTGCGTCTTTGTGACCAAGGGTCTGACGCTCAAACTGCCTTTCCGCTTCCATGTAGGCATCTTTACCGTCGTCTGTGGTTTCGCAACAGCTTCTCTGGGAGGCTGTCTACTCGGTCTTCGTCGACCCCAGATGTACGGCCTTGCCGTGGTGGCCTTCAGCAGCGGAACTTTGGTCTTTAGCCAGGCATAGTAAGCTCTAACTCCCGATCTGATCTTGCAAGTTGTCCAAGCAGCCAAAGCCTGGTGGAAACCCCTATAGCTTTCTTCCGACCGTCATATCTGACATGAAGAGCATTGCGATGACCCCTGTGATGGCACAGCTCTTGACCGTCCCGTAAGTCAACTTTCTGCTTGAAACATTCATTCAGGGTGTGCTGATGTTCATAGCGGCCCGTTCACGGTTGGGGTCATCACCACGCTCATCGGCTGCCATTACTCGGACAAATACCACTTCCGCTACCCTTCCCTGGCCATCCCCACTCTGGTTGCAATCATCGGCGTCGCCATCATATACGCCACCGAAGGCGTCGGGGTCCGATATTTCGGCATCCACCTGACGGTCGCCGGCATCTACAGTTCTGTCCCCGTCTACCTTTCCTGGGGCTCGAACAATTTCTCGGGCCATTACCGGCGCGCAACGGGCGTGGCCGCCATCTTTCTCTTCACCAACTCCGGCGGCATTCTCTCGACCTGGCTGTTCCGGGCGTCTGAGGCTCCTAGCTTTCAAACGGCATATATCATCAACCTGGTGCTTCTGTGCGTGCTGCCGGTCTCGGGTACGGGTCTCTCGCTGTATTATCTGCGCCAGAACAAGATTCGGGACGGGTTCGTTCGAAGTGGTAGATGTGAAGAGTACGGGATGGACAAGGACGGTGACCAACATCTGTTTTTCCGATATTTTCGTTGAGGCTGGGGAGGTTTTGCAGAAGGAAGGATTGAAACTTGGTGTGGCCAGAGGATTGCCAGTTGGTATTCATCTTTCAGCTGGGACAAAACCGGTCATGGAACATCCATTTCCCATATATCCTGGTCGAAGAAGCCATAGTCCATTTGAGGGTCCGGGAACACGCTGTCGAACGAGAGCAGCCAGTCAATATTGTCCGGCGACGTTGGGGACGCGGCGGCTGCGGCTGTGCCAATAGGGGCATGGGTAGTGTTAGAACTGTTGTCGTTACCAGGACCTGGCCCTCCGATATTCAGCTCGTGCATCGCTAGGCCAGTCGGCATTAAATTCTCCGCCTTGTGATTATTCTGGGCATGTAGTTTCTCGTTCACGGCCCATTTTTCGGCAAGGATTTGCAAGGAGCGGATCGCGCGGAGACTCCAGGACCACGCGGTGCTCATCTCCTGCAGGCATGCCATGTTGAATTTCAGCAGTCGGATAGCCGCGCGGCTGATCTCGGCGTCGTTCGAGGTGGCATTCAACAGCAAGATAACCGACGCAGTGCCCACTGCATGAACCGTCGATATGGGTATCCTTCTCTACGGCCAGACTTAGCGCATCAACGGACGAGGTCGTCTGAGGCGGTACCTACCAATGTATAGCTGGACCGATAAGCTCTGAGGATGCTGGAGACAGCCTCGGCAGAGGAAGTGCAGATGTGACGATGAGAGAGGGGGTCAAGGTCAGGAAAGGAAGCCAATTGCTCTTCGCGACGGAGGAACGGCCGGTGCAGCAAGATGATGACCGTGTGATACTGCAAACTGCGTAAGGCATCAGTCTTTGACACGTGCGCATACCAAGCAGCATCAGAAGAAACATACTGGAGCGAGTATATGTGGGCGGGAAGAGCCGTCTTCGTCGAGTGAGGCAGTTTCAATATGCTAGGCAGATTCGAATATTGCTCGGTCAGGGTAACGTGGGTCTTTGTGGCCATTTCTTGCTTCTCGGAGAAGCTGAGCTCGCTGTTCGGACCGTATCTGGAGAGCAGTGAGAATTGGCCCTGGTGGCAGGTAGTGTGGCAGGAGGAACATACATACTGTCCAGAGTCGGGCTCGCAAGCTGAAAGATTGTCGTCATGTACCGCAAGTTCGTTACACAGTGGGATGCAAGCGGCTGGGTGGACTCTCCACCTTCGATCGATGTCCAGGGAGAGAACTCTTCTTCCTTGAGGAGAGTCGGTTTCGGCGCGGTGATGTCGCTCTCGCGTATCATGCTGGGGCGTCCCAGTCCGATATTAAACAGCCTGAATGTGGTCAGCTTGACGAAGACATTCCTTCGATATCGTATCAAGAGTACTTGTCTAGAAGATAGCAGCCCCACCAAGTAATTCTTCGAATCTCGGATTGTTCTTCAGTGATCTTACTCCGGTGAACCCATTTTTGGCAGTCCAAATTCAGGCCTAGGTTATATGCGATACGAACTGCCATCCCTAAAACCATCCTAGGTTAACAGCCTACCACACACGCAGAAGACCAGACACTCACCAATATAAATCCATCCCAGGGTCTCTTTGTTGACGGACATCTCCCGTAGGGCCAAGATGGCGAGTGCAGCCGTCGTGGAAGTGGATGGGTGTTCGATCTCGACGCTCAAGATATCCTTAGCTTGAGCAGCCAGAAGATCACCAGCCGTGTTTGCGTCTCTCGCATCCAGCCGAGGCCCTGGGTGATCGCAGTATCTGCTGCCCAGAGCGAGCACACAGCGGAGAAGAAGCGGGGTGCAGTATTCGTCATACAACCTGCTCTCGAATGCTCGACAAAAGGCTTGTCGATGAATCAGATATTGCCAGGGATTCTGCCACCTCCAGAATAAGTTCAGTAGGTGAGTTTGCAGTTCGTATGAGAGATCAACATCAATCGTGTTCGGTTGCATTGTCAGGTCCAAGTCGTCTTGCTTGGTGCTCCTGGTAGTCAAATAAGGGGCACTCTTAAGGAGATTGAAATAGCTCGGAGCGCCGAAGAATCGTAGATGGCCGTCCTCAGCAATGTCCAATTGACCCGCAGTCTCTGTCAACTCGTCAAGGGGGCCTCGCTCTGTCGTGGGCCATAGATCCAGTTCCCGAGTATGAGATTGGGCAGGACGGGCGTCCTCTCCGCCTAGGGTTGGAGCAACACTGGGGCTTATGTTCACAAAGTCCAATGCGGTAGACAGAGATCCGTGTTGTTGGCATGCATGTAGTTGGCGTTCCAGAGATTTGACGCGTGCATGGAGGGCTTCGATATAATGTTTCGTTGGCGGCCTAGTTTTCTCAACCTCTCAGCCCGAAGAGCACGGCACGGATAACATACTTGCGTTTCTCTGTCTCGTAGGGATATTCACATTGCTTTCCTAGCCGGACGCACGTACTGCATTCCGGCAATTGGCCGTCGCACTGGGTCTGCTGTCAGCACCCATACGAGGTCAAGCGGTGTGGGATGAAGTCCTTACCCGGCTTCTTCTCAGGCGGCATGTCGTGCATGCTACCGACACTCGCTGCCTTATAGGCTTTTGAGACATTTGGTTTGGACGGTTGTATGTGCGTGTCCGCGAGTGGCGTTATATATTCGTAGGCAATCTGCCGTTGAAATGCCCCGTTACAGCGGACAACCATAACAGCATCGGGAAGATAAGTCTCGTGTGAGATGAAGCTAACCTCCGCACGCGCACGTGTGACTGGGACAATTGCCAAGTCGATTTTAATGACTTCACACTTTGGTCGAAGGCTTCGGATTGGTGCCAAGTATCGCCCCGGTAACTACTCAATAGCGTAGCCAGATGGTCTCAAAGCATGGAAGACTCACTACGGGGGGGGCGAGGGGACCCTTGGGTTCTTTGGGGGTGGATGATGAGAAACACCAAACGGAACCGGCCAAGCTTCCCTGCCCCCTGGGTGCCCCCATTATTTTTCGTTAGGTAGGGACAACACACCCTCAATTGCCACAGGCGCTTAGCTGCGCCAAAGTCTCGTGCTCGGCGCCTCTTTAGCCTGTGGCCCTCGTCTACCCTGGAGGACCACCCGCCACGACGCCTTTTGCGCAGATTTGATCGTGTCGCTTGCAGCCTCGTCGGTTGCGTATCGTATCTTCTGAAGATTAATATCTCTTTGGAGACTCGGATCTTTCACATAGCTGATTTGCCTGACGAGTGTACACTATGTCTCTAGGTACGTCTACCCGCTTGCTTGACTTGATGTCGCGAATACCTGAAGCCGATTTGAAGCCGCCAACATTTTCCACCAGAAACGCTGACTCGTGCCATCAGCCTTGGATGAACAGACCCTACAACATGTGGCCAGTAATGGCGAGATGGACTAGTATGCTCGTTCTGTCGCTTAGTTCTGCGATATTGAGACTTACCCTGCTCCAGTGAAAAATGGCCCGCCATCATCGAACCACTACTCCAGCGACTCAATGAGGTACATACTTGATTCTGTGAAGTATTGCTCACTGTGGGATTGACATGCGATGGACAGATTGTGTATACGGAATTCCCTATGCCACGGCCATATCCCACAATAAATCGGCCGGCTCCTTCCTCACCGAGTCAAACACAGCCGACACAGATGGGTGATTCCAATCCTAACCCGCAGACACCATCGACACCTGTGCGGAATCTACCTCCCGTCCCACCCTTCCCAACATCGTCGGCGACTTCTACAAGCCATGTGCCTGATTCTCTCCCTCAATCCCAAGATGCCGATGTCGGTGCGCTGAATGAACTTCACGAAATATTACTGCAACTCCTCAATAGCGTAACACATACACTTCGATCCTCATTTTCAGAAAGACCCCCTCATACGATACAACGGCTGGCAGAACTTATTCTATACCCCAGAAAACATTACAAGACCCTCCCGGCCTGGTTACGAGCCGTCGATCGAGTTGTCAGCGTCAGTAGCCCTGCGGATATTTTCCCGCTTTCCGACACTCCGTCCGTGGTGAATGGTGTCAATGGAGATGGAGGAGGGGGAATACTCTGGAACAACGGCGACGTGCGCCATGGCTACGACAGCAATTCATTAGGCAGTGACGAAAGTCTAGGTGGCGCACTCCTGACTCCAATACCGTGGTTACGAAATGGACTTAATGGTGGCGAGGATTCTGGTGAAGACACAGGCCCCCCAGACTCGAATGCCAGCACCAGTACTGATGGCTTGGACGACGCTCTCCTCCTGCCGATGACACAGGGCGATGGAGATTCGCTAGTACCTGGAAGGGCAGATGGCGCAGTTACCCAAGGCGAGTTGATACGTATGGAACAAGAGGCTGGTGTAGTACCTGTGACCCGAAACCCTTCTGATACACATGTGAGTGGGACAATGGAAGAGAATTCCCTCGTCGATGAAGGAGATATGGTACCTCACGCCCGCGGACCAGACCTCGTTGGATCCGTGGATATGGGAAGAGTCGATGGTCAAGATGTGGAAATACATATTGGAAGTCCTCCAGGCGAAGAGGGAAACGAGTCTGCCATTGATGCAAGTGACGCGCAGGCAGTCGTTTCTGCACAAAGTCGTACTTTGGGCTCTACGGCCATATCGTTGGGTGGACCTGGATCAGCGGCGGATTCGGACGACTTCGAAATTGTGCTCAAGGACGCCGTTGAAGGCACCGATGTGGACGCCATGCAAGTCGACGAGAGCGGAAAAGGCGACGAGAAGCAGCAGAAGCAACAGTGGCTCACCGAAGACGCCGACATTGTTCTTGTGGACGCGGATGGAAAGACTGACGACGAAGTCGAGACCAAGGCTGAGAACTCAGGTCAGATCGTTGGACCGGATACCGAGGACGCGAGCAGTGTGACTTGAGGGATACCTCTCTGCACCAGATCTAAAATCCTTTCAAGATTTGAAGTCCACAATACTGGACTAAGTCTGCTGATCTTCGAGCGCAACCCGAACATCCTGGATCTATCGTTCACCCCGGTTGCACGTGTCCTGCGGCAATTTCCACAGGCTAAAAGAATGAAGCCGAAATGGAACCCATCCACCAAAGACCTTGGGTAGCGCGACTGTCAATCCTGCCTAGACGATCCGTCGAGTCGAGGTATAAGAAACTACAAAGACAAGATTCCCTTTTCACTTCTACCCAAGCGTCGAAAATTGGCCGTCCCTTGACTCAGAGAGGCCGTGTACTTGTATGTCGGGCAACCATCGGCACTTGGGAGAAGTATCCACATCTCAATGGGTAGGTCCCTGATGCATGAGATGCGATGCGTGTCTAGTATCACTACGAGGGAAAAGGTTGGATGAACGACGTCCTCTGACCTGGAGAAACAAGAATTAACAAAGACGGTTGCCCCTTTCTTTGTTATGTGAAGGAGCGGGAGAATATACATGTATACAAATACTCGAGACCTCGTATGCGTGTGTACAAGTGAATACATGATCCTTCCCATCATCTGTTCTCTATGCTCCTCTTTCATTCACTCATTCATTCATTACTAATGTACATCGAACTGTGGTGCGTATTGGAGGTAACCCGGAGGTGGATTGTTTCTCGGGCAGGCGTGTTTCTTTTCTGCCGTTGCAGGCTGCTGAAGCGGAACTGCTTTGGCTGACCGTCCGTCCAGCTCCAAAATATGGGTGATCTAGCTAATAGATAGATAGATGGGGATGGATGCTCGTCGGTCTCGGTGAGACGATAAGCTGATAAGCTGATATGGATGCTTCGACCGCTTGAGGTTGGAGGCTTGAACCTGCTGACATGTGGAAAAAGTATGCCGGCCTCGCACAGCCAACTGCAGCGCCCAGCGCACCACATCAGATCTTTCCCAGGCTGTCTGTCTGTCCTGTCTGTCTGACAAAAAGCCTACCAAGTGTTCTTGAAGTCTTGGCTGGAGCGGATCAACCGATTTGAGCTTGAGCGTGGGTGGCTCTTTGTGTCAAAACGCCCTTCAACCGGATTCCTGCTTGATGGCAGGAGCAGGAGGGAAGGTCCTGTCAATGTGAACAGGGTCAATGGTGGTGGCTGTTGCACTGTCATTGCCCGCCACGTTGGACGGGGCGGCTTCTGTGCCTGTCATTCCGTTGCTCATGTCCGTCGATGGCGCCACCGTAGAGCCTTCATTTCTCATCAGGGCTGGCCCGGTGCTTTCGACCTTTTCCATTTTATCAGCCTTTGTCGTGGCCTTGGACATGGAGACCGCGGGACTGCGATGTCCCACGTCCATGGATCCCGTTTCGACGTCTGACATCTCACTGGCCCTGCCTGGGGGCGGCATGGGACTGGAATTTCCCCCCACCATTATCGATGAGGTGGCTCCTGTCTCACCATTCTTGGCACTGGATACCGCAGGACTAGCCGTCCCGGCCGCTATCGACGACACAGCATCTATTGCCGCATTTTTCTTCTTCTCCTTCTTTGCCCACCTCAGCCCGCAAGCATTGCATAGCGTTTTGGGACCATTGGGCCCTTTTCTCCACTCGGGACTATCCAGAGTTCCACAGTCCGTGCAAACGTATTCCTCTGCACTTTTAACTTTCTTGTGTTTCTTGTCAGTGTATGAATATCGTGAGTCGGCTTTGTCAATGGGTATGTGAATGCCTGCATCACCACGAATAAGTGCTGGCGAAGTTCCACCGGTTGAGATGCCGTGAGATCTCTCGCCCTCGCGGTACCGGAGACCGGTCAACATTTCAATGGAGTCGACGTGTGAAGAGCCTTCGTATCGGGCCATTTTGTCCCGTATGGAGTCTGGGCGAGCAAAGGCGTTGGCCTCGTCCAAGGCTTCTCGCGTAAGAGCAATGTTCGACACTGTTGGCTTGGCGGGTGGTGGCATGCCACCGTAATCGGGAAACTCTGGCCTGGCGGTTGTGGATGGCGAGGTAGGCGGAATGTCGGCTGAATTTGACGAGGCTCGTGAGGCGGCGGCCCCGGCAGCCTGCTTGTGATAATGCTCTTGTTGCGCGTCCGCTTCCTCAGCTTCCTCGCGCTTTAGAATGGCTATCCTGGCCTGAAGCCTGAAATTTTCAATCTTGTGCTCCAAGAATGAATCTAAGAGTTCCGAGGTCGGGGTTGGGTACGGCCGGGCCATCATGAAAAAGCCCCGGCAAAATCCTGCCTGGCCCATAGGAGTCCCGGGAAGTTCAAGCTGAGTGATTCCGTTGGTGAGATGCGGATGTCCATGGCTTTCAAAGATGCGGTATTTGTCTTCAGCGCCGCGGAACCGGTGGAAGAAGCGCACAGGTTTTCCAGTTGCAATGCTCTCATTGAATTCGCGAATGAAAAGCGAAGAGTCGTCGGGATGAATGAAATCTGATATTGATTTTCCTATCAGCTCATTTGGTTCGTATCCAGTCAGTTGCTTGGCCGAGGGTGAAACGTAGAGAAGCCGACCATCGGGAGTGAGGATGTACAACAGATCTTTTAGCTCCTCTAGTAAGCGCTGGGTCCAATTCTTTCTCCTTGTGAATTCGGTCACGGTGCTATTCGAGGCGGAAACAGTTTGCATGCCAAAGTCGGTAGGTAGTGGTCCAGCACCAATGCCATTAACGGGCATAGAGCTGTCAGGGGTGTCAGGTTTACTCGAGCCATCCTGCATCAAGGTTGGCTGGACGGAATCCATTGGGTCAAAAGGTGTAGGTTGCATAGAGGCCATATCGAGAGATAA